TGGACAGCAAAGGACAAAATCCAGAGGGCCATCAGAAAGAAAGCTAGATTGACCTTCAGGAAAACACACAATGTTTAGTGAATTAAATTTTAGTTTGTTTTCTTTAGTCTAGCCCATCGAACAGAAATTCCACATTTAAGAACTTTTCATATTTAGTAACAGTGTTAGAGCTTGTAGTTTTAGGAGGAGTCTTAGAAAACCAAAGCAAACCCAAGACAACACAGGGACATTCTTGCTCATATCATCCTCCCGCCTCCTTATAATCCTATTGACCTTAAACTGATTGTTAAGGATGCTCGGATGTCATCACTCACAAAGAGGATGGCGCAGACTGGTCCAAGGAAGCCCCATATAAATCCCTTTTCTGGGTGGAGCCAGCAGCTAAGAAAGAGAGAGAATTAAAAATGCATTGGTCCTTAGAAATGTAGAACAGTTATGCAAATTCATTTATTAATTCATTCATCAACAAACATAGAGTGTCTCTTCTGTAATAGGCTCTGTGGTTGGCTCTGAAGATACTGTTGTGAAGAATGTATGCATGGTCTTCCATTCCACACATCTCACAGATACACAATGAGACACACTGCAACAATAAAACAAAAATGGGAAGCTAACACTCTATCCATTGAGCCAAAGCAATTAAGACTGAATTTTTTAATTTATGGCTTTTTTTGAGAGGTAGCTCACATACCATAACATTCACCCATTTAAACTGTACAGTTCAGTGACCTTAAACTATTCATAGAGTTGCCTTAGCTTGTTTGGCTCAGTGGATAGAGCATCGGCCTGTGGACTGAAGAGCACATGCCCAGGTTGCAGTCTCCATCCCCAGTAGGGGGTGTGCAAGAGGCATCCAATCAATGATTCTCATCATTGATGTTTCTGTCTCTCTCTACCTCTCCCTTCCTCTCTGAAATCAATAAAAATATATTTCAAAAAAAGATCATAGTGTTGTGTGATCATCACCACAATCTAACTTTAGAACATTTCCAACTCCTCTAAAAGAAACTCATTCAGATCACAGAGGAGAAACTAAGATGGAGGCATAGGTAAACACCTGAAATTGCTGCCTCGCACAACCACTTCAAAAATACAACTAAAAGACGGAACGGACATCACCCAGAACCACAGGAAGGCTGGCTGAGTGGAAATTCTACAACTAGAAGGAAAGAGAAAAGCATACCGAGACTCAGAGGAGGTGCAGTGCAGAAGTAAAATACAAAGGTTCGGAGGTGCTGTGGAGAGAGCTGGCGGCTGAGGTCATGATTGTCTTTTTCAATCGGGAGGGAGTCTCAGGCTCTGAGCTCCAGTTCCAGGCGAGTCTCTGGGGACCCAGACTCATACGGGAGAAAAGAAACGGGACTGTCTGGCATCAGTCGGAACTCAAGGGCCGCTTCCTCTTGGAGGCACACGCAGCGATTGCCGGGGCCTCTGAGGACAGGACTGAGAACAGCCATATTGCTTGCTCTGCCCACCCAGTTGATCCCCTGGGGCTCTGCCCCACCCAAGCCTTGCACGGAGGCTTTTGCCTATGAAAGGCCTGGCCTTTGTAATCTGAGAATTACTTAACAAACTGCAGCTTACCAAGGCCCCAAGGCAACTTGCATTGCTTTACAGCTGGGTTCTGCAGGGTAGCCTCAGGCAGAGGCTAGATTAGCACCTTCTTAGATCCAAGAGCCAGTGTACCCAGTGGTCAGAGTGGGACCATCCAATTACAACTCTGCAGATCCATAAGGGACACCCTCAGGGGGA